GCATATAAAAGATGAGAGATCCTTGGACCTCTAGAAGTCACTTGAATGACCCCTTTGCTCAATAACACTAGACAACAACTAAGAGCACAAAATGAATAAGTATGGTGATAGAGGGCAGCCTTGCCTGAATCCACAGTGAGCATCAATCCACTTAGTATACTTTCCATTCATACTAATTGAAAATCTGGCATTAACCATGCATTCCATAAGAAGCCTAGAAAATGCAGAAGGGAAACCATACCAATAGAGAATCTGGTTCAGTGTTGGCCAACCGATGCTGTCATAGGCCTGCTCCATGTCAAGCTTCATAGCCATCAAACCTTGCTTATTCTTAGACACTTTGAATTTATTAAAAATCTCTTCCGCCAACAAACAATTCTCAGATATTGATCTACGTGGGATGAAGGCTACCTGCTCCCCAGAAATCATCCTAGGCAAACACATCTTCAGCCTATTAACCAACATTGTAGCCATAATTTTATATGTGCTTTGACAAAGCCTGATAGGCCTGTAGTTAGATAGTATTATCGGGTTTATTATTTTAGGAATTAAGACAATAGTCGTGTCTTTCCATTCCTTATGCATCACTCCACAATTTAAAAACTTCTTGATTACATTCAAGTAGTCTTACTCACTAAGTTCCAATAACATTTGAAAAAGGAGGAAGTCACCCCATCAAGACGTGACTTGTTATTCCCCTACTGAAAAATAGAAATTATGCATTCCTCCAAATGGAAATCTGCATTCAATACATCAGCACCAAATGCATCCAGCTTCAGACTATCAACTGGATCTGGCCAACCAGTCAATTCACAATTTCTGAATTCCCATTTTTTTTCAAAGAAATGTAAGAAGACTTGCTCTATCTAATCCTCCTCCTCCACCAGATTGTTGTTTACATCCGTAACTTGTCTAATCCACTTTGTATTCCTCCGAGCTGAAGAAAAATTTTGGAAAAATTTTGAATTTGTATCTCCTTCATCATACCATATGGTTTTAGCTCTTTGGTTCCACCACATATAAAGCCTTCTCAAAGTTACATTCAGCTCATGAATCTTCTTTCTAAGCATAAGGAAATCATCACAAGAAAAATCAGCTCCAGCAGCCTCCTTAATTTGTAATTCCAGTATCTCATTCCTAAACAGCTCTTTCAGCTTATACATATCCCGACATTTACTCCTATTTCAGAAAAAAAGAGCTCTCAAAGTCCTCTTAAGCTTCCTATGAAGCACCTCCTCCTCCTCACCAAAATCATTCTTTTTCCATGAATGTTGGACAATGCACCACACAGCCGGGTAAGACCTCCAAGTATCATCAAATCTGATAGCCTTGATCCTGCTAACTCTCTTCCCATCCAAATTGAAAATAATTGGGCTGTGATCAGAGGCAACCCGAGCAAGGTGCTTAACTTTTCCAACATAACCAAATGTAAAGCAGAGGAATTGAGCAAGCATTTATCAAGCCTCTCCCAAATCCTAGAAGAACCCTCTTTTTGTTACACCAAGTAAAACTTGGTCCAACAAAACCTGCAACATGAAAATCAGCATTAGTCATAAATTCTTTCATCTCTCTAGGCCCTCTAGAGAATAAGAACTGCTTGCCACCCTTCTTCTCTTCCTTGTTTAAGATACAATTGAAGTCCCCCACCCCCATAATGGCAGGACCCAACTCCTTCAAACAGGTCTCCAGCAAATTCCACAAACAACTTCTCTCATTATGGCACCTGCTGCCATAGACCGTAGCCACCTTCCACACACCCAAATAAGGTGAATGAAGAGAACCCAACACCATCTGAGAAGAGCTTCTCTCTACAACATAGGAGTCAGTCTTCATATTCCACAAAACCATAATGCCACCAGCGGTACCCACAGCTGGAAGGTAGAAGTAATCCCAATCCTTCCCAATAAAGAAATCAACTTCACTTCTACTAATACTTGATAATTTGGTTTCCATTAACCCTACAAAGCAAACATCATGATCCCTAACAATCTGCTTGAGATACAAGGAAGCCTCCTTTTTCCTGGCCCCCCTACAATTCAAAAAAACCAACGAATTCATTTATTAACCAATGGGGAGCCATCTCCCCTGGAAAACTTCCCTTAGCCTCCTTCCTCTTTTTCCTATAATCTGGTTCTAAAGGCCCAGCGACTTCAGCTCCTTAGCCAACTTAATCTTCACCAAGCTATTACTCTGAGAAACAGCAGCCTCAATTTTCTCAGGCAATTCAACAAGAATAGCCGCCTTGTGTTGATCCACAAAAGGAAGGTCTGTCACTTCCCCTTCTTCAACTTCTTCAAGCAAAACTTCAAATTTGTTAGTAACAGAAACCCCCATTGCACACTCCTTATCTCCTTCTTTGTTACTATCATTTTTGACAATGTCCACATCCACCTGATCAATCTACTATTCTAGTTTCCTCACCCTTTCAATGATGAGATTCTGATTTTGTCCTGTATCAGGCTGAGGAATCCGAGCCATAGCTTCAAATCCAATAGCTTTTATACCAGGCCTTCCAGCCATTATCACTTTGCCATTCCTAAATCTCCTATTTTTAAACATCACATGAATCCACGGCCCATATTCACTTTCAGCACCTTGCACTTCCGTCAAATCCTCCACATTCTTTATAGCATCAGCCTTACTACCCGGCTGCTCACCAGCTTTCATTTTCACATTATCAGGACAAACCTTGCTATCATGCCCAACCTTACCACACTGATAGCAGATTAAGTCAATCTTCTCGTATTCTATCTTTTGAAAGAAATGACCAGCAATTCCATCCACCCAAACCCCATTAGGGAGGCTATTCTCCAAATTCAATCTAACACATACCTGAGCAAATTCACGTTTACCCCATTTAATGGAATTACCATCCAACAGCATAGGGGCACCAATTCTTGAAGCAATCCTAATAAGGGTCTCCTCATCCCAGCAATGTAGTGGTAAGCAAGGGAAACGAATCCATAACGGAGCCATAATTCCTTTGAAGGAATTAGGATTAAAGAGAGGAGACCACTTGTCCATCCGCAAAATGTAGCCTCCCACGAACCAAGGGCCACCGCTAAGAACTTCCTCCACCGCTTCTGCTGACTTGAAAGAGCAAAAAATCTAATTCAACCCAATGGACGTCATATGAAAACTCTCAAACTTGTTCCACTGCTTCCTCAATTCATGGCTACACAATGGAAAGGATACTCTGTTACCCACCACCTTAACAACCAACGAATGTTTCAAAATTTTCGAATTCAAAACTTCTTTCTCAGCATTAAGCTTGACCGCCATCCCATCATCTAACATTTTCGTGATCAGCTTATCAGCAGAGATCTTGATATGTTGCATTTTTTTCCAAGCTTCCTGAAAATTATCCTTTGGATTGCTCAAATCAGAGACTCGTGAAAAAGAAGAATCCTGATTTTTATCCAAAACTAAGTTCTTCAGGGGAATTTCATGAACTACCTCCTTATCAGCATTATCAATCTCAGACGCCAAAGCGCGGCCCATGATTTCTCCATGGTTTACAGCAAACATATTAACTTTCAAAATCACACCAGTAGAAGCAGACGCATCAATAATGTGATCAAGAATCTTCTTCGTACTCACACATTCATTGAAATCATCAGAACTCCGATCAACAACAATCTTTTTGCCTTTACCTTCAATCACTTCTTGGTGAATCAGAGGTTTCAACCCCTCCCTGATAACAATTCCACCACTAGATTTACCATTAACACGAAGGATACCAGAAGAACGGGAGTTCGTCATGATCCAAATAACAAAAATTGCCGATCATCCAACCGGCAATCAGCCAGCAGCAAGATCGACCACCTGCATAATGCCCTCGAACTAAAAATTTGAAAAAAAAACAAATATTTTCTCTCTCTAGAAAAAATGGGAGCTTCTCTCATCACTAAATTATTCAAATGTCTAATAAATGGTCCACTATCAAGGGATTT